CTCTGTAAAAATAACATTCAAGTGAAAAAGAGAGGAGGAAGTCCCTCTATGCTGGAGTTAATTTTTTTAATTAGCTGAATGGATGGTAAATTGGTGAGAGAAATGCCCAAGAACTGCTCTTACGTCAATTTTAGGGTTGGAAATACTGTATCTGTTTCTTGTAATTTGGCTTGAAACTTATTTGCCATTTCATTACAAAATGTCACTATGTTGAGTCAGTGTCCTCATGTTGGGCCTTTTTTATTTATTTTTTTTATGGGAAAATAAGTGTCCCTATGTTGAATTGTCCACATGTTGAGGTGTCTGCATATGGGAGTCTCACTGTATCTCTGGGTTATTCCATTTTTCCAATGAACTAATCAAGAGCGTGTTATTATGAAAGAAAAATTGAAATTGAAGGGACTGTTTCAAAAGCGTGAGATGTTTTAAAAAAATTTAAATCATGATCTGATGCTTTTGTAGAGAAGAGAAAAACTACGTTGGCAACCTTGCAAAAATTTGGAAAGGCTTAATGAATAGTCAACTCGTTTTTGGTGGATATTTGCACTTCAAATCCTCACCGCGTTTCTGTTATTGTAAAGTAGATGTCGCCTGAAGCATCCTTTTTTTGACCAGCTTGAGTAATCAGAAAGAGTGGAATTTTGAAAACCTTGACCAATTGAGAGATTCTGTGAAGTGTCCTTTGGTTTTTTTTGTGGAAAATACAGTTCAACGTTTGTATGTTGATTATTAAAAATTCCCTCTTCAAATTTTCTTGAAAAAAATGCCATGAAAACGTCAACATATTTGGAAAGCTTTCCCTCTCAAACCTTCAAAACTCCAATTTTCTGGAATGATTTTCATTGGTTTTTATTCTATTTTTTATTTTAAAAAAGCTGAAACTTTTCCAACACCCGCCGTGAACTCTTTCAAGCAAAACTTTTTTGAGTCTGCAAAAAATTTGTGAAACTTTGCCAGACCGCAGAAAATTTTTGGAAGAATTTACTGTTCTGCGGAAAATTTTTTGTTGGAAATTTGCTGGTCCGCAAATTTGGAAATTTGAAAATAAAATGACATGTTTTCGGCAAATTAAAAGTTGCAGTTGATTCGATCGACGTGAATGACATTGTTTTTTTTTCTTTTCTTAAATTTTCCCCGAAAGAAACCCTGGACAAGTTCGGCTTCCGAGGAGAAGCCCTGAGCTCGCTGGCCAACGTGGCCCACCTGTCGGTCGACACGAAAACCCGCGACGACGTCATGGGTCGCAGTTATGCCTACGACGCCCGCGGCAACCCGACTTTCCTCAGACACGCAGCAGCCACCGTCGGGACCCAGGTGCACGTCAAGAATTTATTCGAGAACCTGCCGGTGCGACGGGAAGCGAAAAGCAGCAGCGAGAAGCGGAAACGAGACGAGTTGAAGCGGTGCGAGGAGGTTGTGGCGGCGGTCGGGGTGGCCCATCCCGGAGTGGGCCTGACTCTGGTGCACAACAAGCGCGTGGTGTGGAGGAAACCCCGGGTGGGCAGTGTCAAGGACGCCCTGGGGTTGACGCTGGATGTGGGTGCCATCAAGTGGCTGGAAATTACGGCGGCGAAGGGCAGTGGTGTTGGTGATGATGATGATGATGATGACGAAGTGAGGACAAAGGCCTGTGTAATACTGTGTAAAAGTACAGCGAGACCCCGAGATGCGGACATAATTGGTGCATCAAGAGTGTCCCTAAGTCAAGTCTCATTTTCCCTTAGACTTACATTATATACTTTTTAATTGGTGTTTTATGGACAAAATACTCAACTTAATTTCATGTAAATAAAAATTGTCTCCCATTTCAAACTGATTCAATCAATATACTGTATTCCAACACAATATGGACATTTGGGGAATTGAATACTGAAACCTCTGTACAGTACATATTGAAATTTTGGCATTCTCTGTAAAAATAAGATTCAAGTGAAAAAGAGAGAAGGAAGTCCCTCTATGCTGGAGATAATTTTTTAAATTAGCTAAATGGATGGTAATTGGTGAGAGAAATGCCCAAGAAATTTTCTTACATCAATTTTAGGGTTGGAAATATCTGTTTCTTGTAATGTGGCCAGAAACGTATTTGCAATTTCATCACAAAATTTCCCTATGCTGAATCAGTGCCCACATGTCAGGCCTTTTTATTAATTTTTTTATGGGAAAATTAGTGTCCCTATGTCAAATTGTGGGCAGGTCAAGGTGTCTGCTTGTGGGGGTCTCACTGTAGTAATGTAGTTTGACCAAATGTCACTGAAATGCCCCCAGGTTTACCTGGGCTAATTCAGGAAACATCCAGGTACAGAAAATTCCAATGTGTCAAGAAATCCCCAATGTTAATCATATACTGCGAATGCATGAGAGAACGCCACCCAAAGAGGATTAATTTTTTATTCATGAACCAATATTTTCTGAAGGATTATAAAAATAATATTGGACTTTTTCCTGACCTAGGCCTTGGTTCAAAAAATCATATATTTTAATTTGCAGCACTTCATGACAAAATTTTGCAAACAGATCCTGACTTTGCTGCACAAGGGCCAAAGATGGTAGATTCTTCATCAATGAAGCATTTACAGGAAAATCTTGTTAGAACAGAGTCCTGAGGACTGGATGGAAAAAATTCGTTATAAGAAAAGATTTGCTCCAATGAGATTCTTGGTTCTTTGAGGATGCATATAGGGCTTCAATTTTGATTGAAATACATGTAATAGTGGCTTGTCTAAAGCCTCTGAAGTATTTTCACAATAGATTTTGTAAAGAATATCCCAAATTTTCAACTTCTTGTGATGAAACATGCAATGGGGAAAATTCAGAATGTGAAAATCAATTTTCTTGTTTCAACGAACCTTCCTTTGTTACATTGTCTAAAAAAATCAGTAATCTTACTGCATCAGTATCAGCTGGGAAAAAACAGAGAATAAATGCTTTAGAAGAGCATTTATTCATTATGAACTGTATTTTCTTTTGAAATCAAGCAGTTTCCTTCCAAACAACCATTTCTTTTAAAAAAGAGTGCCTGTTTTTACATACTAGGAAGCCTAAATACGTTTTTATTACAGCTTCATATTTCCTGTATGCTGAATTTTTAGCACACAAACATTAGTGTTTATATTTTTTTGGAAATAATTTTTTGAATTCTACACAAGTGTTCCCGTGTTTTGCCAATTAGTAGAAACTTATGTGGCTCACGCACACATAATGAAGACAGGAATATTTCATACTGCGAAAAAAGAGGAAAATCAATTCCTTGTGCAGTAACAAAATGTTGCCGACGAAAATGTTATACTGTACGTTATATGTTATATTTATACGCAGCCTTATACTGAAGGTTTTCCCGCAGCAAGTGTTCCACTGTATAGGTGCCCGGATGTAGCCCCGTTTTTAGAACAGTGTACAGCGTAGGGTATAGGAATAATGCCGAGCAGTACAATGAGCTATACTCGAGATTTTTTTTTTGAATCAAGTGGACTTTCCGAGGATTGATCAGAAAAGTGGAGAATGAAATTATGCCACTTGAATTAGATATAAGATATGATTATGAAGCAAGCGTAAGATACAGTGTCTGATCATCCTGGCAAGCTAGGACAGATTCCGTTGAGCTCTGGCACAGTGAATCGAAATTACACGCAGGGAGAGCTCCTGGTGCTGTATTTCTTATGTGTTCTTCCTAGCTACCAAGATTCCATTTTGCATTGCCCGAAATGTGATACAGTACGTTTTATTGAGGCATGAATCCCTGTTCTCTTCTGAGTAACTTACGTCAACGGCCATACCACGTTGAAAGCACCCGTTCTCGTTCGATCTCGGCAGTTAATCAACGTTGGGCCCGGTTAGTACTTGGATGGGAGACCGCCTGGGAACACCGGGTGCAATTGACTTTTTGCTTCCCCATCTAAATGGAATGAATGCCTACTCTTCCAAGAAAATATCATATTATATGCTTTTTATTTTTATCGGAATGTGATATTTGTGAGAGATGAGGAACAGTTTCCTAGCAGAAATTCATTTTTCCATTGTGGGAACCTCTCATGAACGACGAATGCTTTTTTTTTACTTTTTTTAAAACGGGAAAGAAACGTACCTTATTCCAATTGTTCGCATTTCAAATTCCTTTAAATCGACAAAAAACGGTGGTGTATGTCCGAGATGAGAAGGATTCTTGACCGGCGGGTTAAATTTTTTTGTGGTTTTCGAAATATTTGTCCGAAATACTCAGATTGTCAATACTGTATATATTGTACGTACAATTTTTGGAATCACCTTTTATTTTAACAGAAATTGGAAAATCCCAGTTTTCATGACGTGCAATTGCGTTGTCCATAAGATTGGAAAAATTCAACATAGTGTGCAGTACCTGCAATATATCAATTGAGAAAGACGAAGTGCTGTACTGGACAATATTGCAATGAATCCCTGTTCCTTTCGTAGTGTTTGTTGTCAACGGCCATACCACGTTGAAAGCACCCGTTCTCGTTCGATCACGGCGGTTAAGCAACGTTGGGCCCGGTTAGTACTTGGATGGGAGACCGCCTGGGAACACCGGGTGCTGTTGACTTTTTTCCTCAGGCGAGCGAAATGAATGCATGAATACCAACAATTCTTGTCCCTTGCTCTTTTATTCAATTGGAAAGTGAGGAAGATGAATAAGTTCTCTGCAGAATTCAATTTTTTCAATGTGGGGGACCTCTCCTGCTGACTAAGGGATTGGCGGACGCGTTTATTTCCCGTACTTGAAGCAAAGGAAGAAAATTCATTAGCTTATGAAGAAACTGCCGGGATAAAAAAAGAATCATGGTAACGAAGTTCGTTGTGACGAAATTTTGCTGTGATGAATTGAAACTAAGTTGTTTTGTAGGTCGATCCCTGCAAAATATCCGAAATATTATTTGAGTTTCTGTACAACGACTTTTCCGTTATAACGAAGCTAATTTACTGTTTCCAGTGGCTTCGTTGTACCGAGGTTTTGGAAAATAGGTTGAGATACGTTCGGAAAGTGAAGTGCAAAACATCCCGTTACTATACGCAACCATTATTGGGATAAGGGAGAAAACAAAGTTTCGTCGTTTCCAAATATTTTGTACCAAGTGGTTCTAATAATATTCGGCAGTATTTTCACTATTTGGCAGAAACTGATAAAAACGACGATTTCGTTGTAACGAGGTTCTTCTGATTTTTTTATTATTCAATACAGCTCAGTATTTTGGTCTGCGATCAATCATTTCTTTTTGAAAATTTCAAACGCATTGAATAATCAAAATCGGTTAGTGATCAGCAGGGGAAATAATGATTGTTAAATTCGTGCGCAGATCTTTTTTTTTCATTTTTCGACGATGCAGGAATGAATAACTCTAACTTATGAATTTGTGAATTGAGCGATATATTGAAAAATAAACTTTTGGATTCGCAAAAATTTGTAAAATACCCTGATGAAGAGGGGTAATGCGGTATTTTAAATTACCTCAAGTGCAGTACTGTACGTCGATTCGCAAAGATCTTTTATGGGCAGTTTTTTTTTTTTTGCAGTTATTTTCGAACCGAAAATCCTGCAAAAATATTTCTTTGTGCGTGATTATCAACGTGCTTCGAGTATTTCGTGTTCGTGTGGAAGCGTGTAATTTTGAGGAATTTATCATTTCAAAGAAAGGCAATTGTGCGTAATCCCGTTATTAGTTTTCCCCTGCAAAAAAAACTCAGTGCTTTCGAAATCATGCGAAATTTTCTCAATAAGAAACATCATTTCTAATGTTTGACGCAATTCTATCTTATTATCTGAGACTGAGTTTGTTTTTAAATGCTCAAGATCATAAGCAATGTTTTGATGGCTGTTTGTAGCTCTTATTTGGAATTTGAGAGTACTGTAATTCAAGCTCCTGGTTTTTTGTTGAATAACCTGTTCAGTGTTTATATTTCAAGACCTTTATTCTTGTGCAATTCAAAGACAAAATTGTATTACTTTCACTCATGGTTCTAATCTTCAGAATTAGGATAATGCCAGTCTGCAGAAGTTTTTTTGCTGGTCTGCAGGAAATTTTATTCTACATGATGAATGTGTGAAAGTTAGCAATGAAGTATGTTATCTTCATCTGAAGTCCTGGAAAGACAACAATGGCAGTTGAAATTATCTGATGAAAAATAACAGTTGGCTTTTCTCCTAATGATGCTTCAGACAAATTTTCACCTGCTGAAATGATAATTTTTTTTATGCTGAGAAAAATCTCTTCAGTCTCATTTTTCTAATTTTTCAAGACTTTCTACAATAGCTGCTTCATTGGTTCTTGATTTTATTTTTGCAAAAATCTTTTCCAGCACCTTCTTGTAAAGTCTTTTAAACAAAGCTTCTGAGTCAGTCCGCAAAAATTTTATGAAACTTTGCCAGTCTGCAGAAATTTGTTTAAAGGAAATTTGCCAGTTTGCAAAAATTATTATGGAAATTTGCTGGTCTGTGGGTCCAAAAACTTGTCTCATTATCTGAGCACATTTTCCATGAACATTTTCCATGCTGCTTCATTGGTTCTTGATTTTATTTTTGCAGAAACCTTTTCAAGCACCTTCAAACAAAGCTTTTTTGAGTTTGCAAAAATGTTATGAAACTTTGCCAGTCTGCAGAAAATTTTTTTAAAAGGAAATTTGCCAGTTTGCAAACATTTTTATGGAAATTTGCTGGTCTGTGGGTCCAAAAAAAAATTTCTCATTATCTGAGCACGTTTTCCATGCTACTCCATTGGTTCTTGGTTTTATTTTTGCAAAAATCTTTTCCAGCACCTGCTGCAAAGTCTTTCAAATAAAGCTTTTTTGAGTCTGCAAAAATTCTATGAAACTTTGCCGGTCTGCAGAAATTTTTTTTTGAAAATTTGCCAGTCTATAAATATGTTGATGGAAATTTGCTGGTCTGCAGGTCCAAAAAATTGGGTTATCTTTACTTTAATTTATATGGGTTTTCTGCCTGGACCTGAGAAGAAGTTTGTTGTATATGAACATATTTTGCAAAGGTGTTTGTTGTAACCAGTTTTTTTTTTTTATTGCATTTGCAGCATGGCTGTTGATCGCGTTTGCCCAGGATGTGCTCATGATCTACGCGGGCCGAGCAGTGGCCGGACTCAGCGTCGGCGTGACGTCCATGGCTGTGCCAATTTATTTGGCGGAAGTGGCGCAGGCGGACATCCGGGGCCGACTGGGCATCTTGCCCTCCACCATCGGCAACTCTGGTTCGTTTCTTCTTCATTTTTTCCCTCAGTGTGGATTATCTTCATTGTACTTTTCCATTTATTTTCCTCACCTGGAAATTATAATTCCTAATTATAATTATTATTTATTCCTCACCTTTATCTCGGAAATTTTTGATTCACCATCGTTTCATACATATATGTAGTCGTAAGTACAAATTTTATGTGAGTGAACATACTTTTTGAGTAGTCTGGAATTTATCAGAGATCACTGATGCAAAAAATATGCTCAACATCCTCCATGGAAAAATCAAATTAGCAAAATATTGCCAAGAACGATAAGACGTATATCAATTGACCCAAGAAGTTAAACATCTCAGAAAGTAACTTTAGACATGTCCAACATTTTTTTTTAGGTGGGAGTTATACTTTTGTTTCATTGTTGATTTTTAGGAATTTAATTTTCAACGTGGTTTTTTAACTGCGGGATGTTGATTAGCTGCTAAATATTTCAATTAATTGAAGAAATTTCGTGATTATGTTTCTTCACTTGTTTCCTTTGCAGGAGTGATGTTTATTTACGTGTTTGGGGCATTCCTAAACTGGTCCACTTTGGCCATGGTGTGTTCTATTGTTCCGGTGCTGTTCTGCATTGGCATGGCCTGGGTGCCAGAAACCCCGCGATGGTACCTGTCTAAAGGTACGTTATTATTCTGGATTCCAGTGGGATGAATCATCTTTGCTGTTGAGAGCTGCAACTGTGACTTCAGTAAGCTAGTTTAGCAATTTGTGAATAAATTTAATTCTGCAACAGAGTTGTTTAGCAAATGACAAATCAGAGGTTTACAATATTGCATTTGAGAAGAAGAAATGTATTATTTTTTCCTTTCAATTGTCATCATTAGGTAAAAAGAAGCGGGCTTTCCGAGCACTGCAGTGGCTGCGGCCTGCTGACCACGACGTCGTGGCCGAGATGCAGGAGATGGAGGCCCAGCAGGCCAACTCTGCGGCCATCGCAGGTGGCCCAAAGTTACGCGACCTCATCTCCCCGCTGAACGCCCGCGCCCTGTTTGTCAGCCTGGGGCTCATGTTCTTCCAGCAACTCTCCGGCATCAATGCCGTCATCTTCTACACTCTCAAAGTACGGAAATGGTGGAGTTTCTTCAGTATCCCTCGTTCATCATCTTCTGCTTATTTATGTTTGCCTATTTTTTTTTTCAATAGACGTAGTGCAAGTGGTGGGAGGGAGGGAAGGAGAAGAAACTTACAACAAGAATGAGAATGCTCAGGTTTGCGAGACCACTTGTCAATGTTGTAATGCACAGTGTTCCCCGTATGTATCCTGAATGGGGGAATTGTTGCACACAGGAGATATGTCTGTAATTCTACAGAGTGACTCTGCTGTACACCAGAAGTATACCAAAGTTCTTCTGTTGCACATGCATATTATCCCTAATGTGCACCAAATTGTGTGTTCACACCAGGATTACTCAGGGTCACAGTTGTAAACAAATAAGTTACACCAAGGTTACGGTTGGTGCATTTGTGTGTTACTCCTGTTATGTCACATTTGTGCACCAAGTGTAGCCCTGGAATGGTAGCAAAATTTCCTCTACTGAAGTGCACACTTGTAACCCCCAGAATATGCCATATGCACCAGTTCTGACCCTGGTGTGCACCTACTGTGGGGTCACAGCAAAAATAGCTCCCCACTTGGGCAATCTGTGGTCTGCAGAAGTTTGGAAATTTTCTTTCGTGTCATAAATTTATGAAAAGTATAGCAATGAAGTACATTATGATATGTTTATCTGAAATTTTGGAAGCAAAATGGCTGTTGAAGTTACGTGATGAAAAAATAAAAGTTTGCTCTTCTCCTAATAACGCTTCAGACAAATGTTCACCAGCTGAAGTGAATTATATTCATTTTTTGTTCTGAAGAGCCTTTCTTCAAGCCCACCTTTCTAATTTTTCAAAAAGGCATTCCACTATGGCTGATTCATTGGTTTTCAATTTTTTCAAAGAAGAAGAAACTTTTTAAATACTCTACCTGCCTTTTTAACAAATCTTTTTTGAGTCTGAAAAAAAATATATATGAAACATTGCCAGTCTGCATAATTTGTGTGCCAATGTGTAAAATCAAAATTTGCTTGTCTGCAGGCCCAAAAATATCAGAGAACACTGGTATGGTACTGCATGTGAATGAAGCTACAGGATGGGTTCCTTTTGTTGCGTTGAAAACCTGTCCAAGAATAATCAGAAAAGCATTTACTCAAGACACAAGTACACTTTTTACCAAAATTAATCAGGACCAAAAAGTTGTGTGTGTATCATAATCCTAAAGTGCAAACTTTTCTTGCAAATTTTCTGACTTCACGTTATTCTGGAATAAAATCGTGAATAAATTATAAAACAGAAGCAAATTGAATTTAACTTTTATTTGAGTATGAATTGATAATTTCAACAGTTGTGATTATTCAACTTTGAAAATTTCTGCACTGAAGACTGCAGCAAGCATCTTTATCCAAGAAATACTGTGCAATATAGTTGTGCCCAAAATTCGGACGTTATTGCAAAAACTTTTGAAACTCTCCCAGTTCAAGTGACGCATGGTGGAAGAAATTAAAAAAAAAAAAAAGTGCAAGGTTTTTAAGAATTTCCGCAAGTGAAAAAGCTGGTTCAGTGCTATGTTATTGAAAAGAATTTTGAAACTCTCCCTGTTCATGTGACGCATGGTGGAAGAAATAAAATGAAAAAGTCAAGGTTTCTAGGAATTTCCGCGAGTGAAAAAGCTGGTTCAATGTCCCCGCCAACTGTGTGTATGTACTACACCTTGGGGTCCTTGTGCCACCGGGGTTGGATCAATACCATGAAGAAGGGGGGTTTTATTATCCCTCTACATTGCAATGCATATACTGTACACACTTTCAATCGGTTCACGAAATCAACTCTGCTGGGGGTTGGGGGGGGGGGGGATTTCCAAGACCCACGGTATAAGATATATGCCAAGTTTTATTCTCCATGCACCACATTAATCGATCATCAGCCGCAGCAGCAAGGACTTCGTCTTCCCATCAAATGTTTTCTCGTTATTTTTTATTTATTGATTCATTATCTCTCATTTTGTGGTTGATGTTTGTCTTGACTCGTGTTATAGATTTTCGAAGCAGCGGGATCCACGGTCGACAAGGATTTGTCGACCATCATCGTGGGCTCTGTGAACATCGGCGCCACGTTGCTGTCGAATGCCGTCGTGGATCGATGGGGTCGGAAGTTGCTACAAATTTCTCCATTATAATCAAGTATAATTAACACACAACTTCCTAAAACTTCTTGAAAATTTTGTACCCGCTTATGACGTGCACCCCTTTTTTTTCTTCTGAAATTTGAGAAAAAAGGTGCGTGTGGTACTTGAGTAAATATGGTATACATGTTCTAACATTCCAAAAATCTATAGTCTTTGCGGAAACCGTGCATGAATATTGAATGTGACTGCAAAATTTTTTGGGCAACATCTATAGATTTGAGATGCATGAAATGGTGGTCTTTTCTTTTAATAATGCAGGTTTATATTGATGTTTGTTTTCTTATTTTTGCTGTTTATATGTAGGCTCATGCTTCCCCAGAGACGGAAGAGACTTTGCGGGTGTTTGGATGGCTCCCTCTGGTGGCGTTTGTGGTCTTCGTGGTTGCCTTCAGCTTCGGGTTCGGGCCGGTGCCCTGGCTCATGTTGGGCGAGATTTTCCCGTCCCGGATCCGCAGTTTGGCAGCCAGTGTCACGGCGGCTTTCAACTGGGCCTGCACTTTCATTGTCACCAAAAACTTCCAGGTCAGTGCTGTTTTGCTATGTGTCTCACAGCCACAATACGTTGTATTGATGTGTATACCCCTCATCTGAACCCTGTGCGTACAGTATAATAATTCCCTTTACTCGAATTATTTTCGCCGGTCCCTTATTGAAAATGGTTCGACTTTTTGTATACTGATGCTTGTTTATGTTCTCTGTATACTGTATATATAGGGCATGATTGATGGACTGGGCATCCACGGCGCCTTCTGGCTCTTCGGCTCCAACTGCCTAGTGGCGACATCTTTCGTCTTCCTCCTCGTTCCCGAAACAAAGGGTCGCACGCTGGAGCAGATCGAAGAGCGGTTGTCCAAGAGTTCCGGTCGGTACACGTTCACCAAGACCCCCGAACCCGGGCGTGACAAGGCCAAGCGAGAGAAGAAGGCCAAGCGGGAAAGGCAACTCCAACTCGAGGCCCAATTGCGAGGCTCGCCTGATGCTGCTGCTGCTGCAACGGCGGAGGCGGTGGACGTGGAGTTGGGAGAGGCGGCGGAAGTGGCGGCAGGTGAGAATGACGACAGTAGTGTGCCGACGACCGTCGACAGCCGAGTGCAGGACCTGTCGGAAAGTGTAGGCATTGCTGCTGCTGAGAGTAAGAAGGTGACTGGGCACGATGAGGATGCTGACCTGCAGGACTGAAGCGACATCTATTAATTCGAAATGCGACGGAATTGAAACATTGCGGGATGATGTCGTTAGAAGACCTTTTAAAGACTTCCAAATAAGTCCTTATAACGACGATCAGCAGTTTTTCCCCTCCAGCATTCGGAAGAAACGAAATCAAAAATCAGGTTCTTTCAACCCAACCTCATCTTGTTTCTTTTAGTGTTACTAGCAAGTTATATTTGTTCGCGTAGATGTCACTGCAATCCATTTTTCTATACTTGGACTGAGTTCATCATCATTCAACTTTTTCTAGTCTTTTCTGATGCTCCTTATTGATAAAAAGTATGACAAGAGAGTCAAAATCAAAAATTCGGGTTCTTTCTCCCACCTCCTCTCCATCCATGGAATGAGTCATCTTGATTGGTCTGTTTACTCTTTGATTGAGTGGAGGTAGATGTCGCTGCAATATTCATTTTTTTACCGAAGCTGAGCCATTTAACCTCAAGAAAACTCAATACTTACGCGAAGTCTATGCTCCTTGTGGAATGTTTCGCCCTTTTTTGTTTCCTCAAAAATATGTAAAACCGTGGTTACATGTTTGCTTTTTTTTTCTGAAAAGTTGGAAATGATATTTCGCTGCTGCTTCAACAAAGGGAATTTGCTGCAGTTCAGCAGCTTCTGAAAGAATCCCTATACAAGCATTATTCATCCTTGAAGAATTCAAAATGCTTTCCTCTTGTGTGTTCAAGAATTGTGTTGATTTCTCTGCCATTGAACTAAGAGAGGAAGGTTTCCTATTCAAATAAATGTCGCTTCAATGCAATCAAAAATCTGTGCACTTATGTAATCCTTTTTTCTCTACTATGAGTCTACAGTATTCCATTAGGCAAATTTTATGCTTATTATCCTTTTGCTACTTTGAAAATTTTTCATCTATGTTTTCTTGAAGAAGCTTGGATTAGAATAAGGTTACTTTTTAATCCTGAAATTCAATACTGTAAATGTAAATTTGCGAGTACTTTGCACTGTTGAAGTATTTTTCTGCTAGTTGTCGCCTCAATTTATTTTCAAAATGTGTTCTGCCAGACATTTCCAAGTTACTCACTTTATTTGAATAAAAATTCGATGATGCATTGGAAGAAAATTAATTATTTCAACCCATGTCATGGTTTTAGCTAGTTCAGAATCTGTTGCCATATTTTGACTTCTTCGGTCCTTGAGATTTTTCGCAAATAAAATTGCGTACGGTGAATTTTTTGGCGTTTATTTTCTTCGAGGTGAATTCATGTGTGGAGATTTTCTTTTTTTTTACGCAGCTTTGAATAGCTTCTAAAGCTCAGAATTCGCTTGCATCTGCATCATGAGTATTATTTTGTCCATGCATTCAAAATCTTGTAGTTGCAAAAATTTGGCAGGGATTCCGTTACTTTCTGCACAAGAAAGAATGAAAGAAATTGATTCCTAAATCTCACCTCAAATCTGGTAGAAATATCTTATTGTGGTACTGCAACTGAGGATAAAATATGCTAAGGTTGATTTATGAATTTCATGCTTATTTAGAATCTCTAATGTTACCTTTATAACCATGAAAATGCTGCTTTATTTGATTACATTGGGGTCTTGGAATATAAACCTAATTGGTTCCTGAACAAAGTTTGTTAGCCTAAATCACATTTTTCCTTATAAAAGCATAGAAATAATTTAAATTCTTCCAGAACATTGAAAGTGCCCATGAAATTCAAGAAAATGCATCCTTCAGGCCTGAAATCCATTAAATCTTCCCTGGGCAATATAAAAGAAACTCACTACAGTAAAACAATCCATAGAAGTGAAGAGGTTTCTTCTTGAAATTTGTAAATGCAACACCACAAATTGATTCACATCAAGGACTTAGGGTGAAAAATGTTGAAAAGCTGTTGCATTTTAACCAATTACAATTTTTCTTAATTTGTGATCAAGAATTGTTCACTGCAATTACAACAACTTACAATTTTTCTTAATTTGTGATCAAGAATTGTTCACTGAACTTTTAAGACATTCTTAGATGAATGATTTTAAACATGAATCCCTAGATTTTGCTATTTAAAAAAAGATTTTTAGACCTATGAGCATTTGGAGAAGTTGAAGTTTGTAAGCTGAGTCATGGTTTGTTAGCTGAAAAGTTTGTGAACTGGGGCATTTTTCAGCCAAGATCCCACTGTTTTAGATTTCCAAGTAGGGCAATTGGTGCAAACTGGGAATATGTCTGTAGTTCTACACAGTGACCCTGCGGTGCACCTGAAGTGTACCAAAGTTATTCTGTTGCACATGCATATCCCTAATGTGCACCAATTGTATGTTCACACCAGGATTACTCAGGGTCACATTTGTAAACAAATTTTCTACACAGTGACCCTGCGGTGCACCTGAAGTGTACCAAAGTTATTCTGTTGCACATGCATATCCCTAATGTGCACCAATTGTATGTTCACACCAGGATTACTCAGGGTCACATTTGTAAACAAATAAGTTACACCAAAGTTAAATTTGATGCATTTGTTTGATACTCCTGCTATGTCACATTTGGTCACCAAATGTAGCCCTGGAATGGTAGCAAAATGTCATCTACATAGGTGCATGCTTGTAACCTCAGAATAGCCCATGTACACCAGTTGTGACCCCAGTGTGCACCAGTTGTGGGGTCACACAAAGAATAGCCCCTCACTTGGGTTGCTATGTATAATATGGGCCCCTCCATTTTTAAGCTGCATAATTTGGTAAAAGGGGATCCCCAGATTTTCTGCACAAAACTTGCATCCCAGTTACCAGTGGAAAATGTTCAAAATACAAAAATCGAAACAGCTGAAATTTATCCATTTATACTTGAATAAAATAATTCAATTTGCTCTTTATTTCTATTTACATGTATGGCATCCAAGAATGATGCACAGAACAATTTTGGATATCTTCTATAGGAAATGTTTGTACTCCAGTATCATGGGTACCCAAACTTTTGGTCCTGATTTTTAAGGTCCCAAAAAAAATTGAATGCAAGGTTTCTCAACATGATGATACAGAATATAACTGTGAAGAATAAAACCACACAGATTATGATCTTTGGACATTGAAAATACCTCAAAGCGCAAGTAAAAGTCTTGCTATACTGTGTGCAAGTGATGAAGGATATTCAAAAAAAAAGCACAAACTGAACCTGTTTTGATTATAAATTTGAGTAATTTTTCAATGAAATTTCTTGCTTTTGTGAATCTAAATTGCTCAATTTATTCAAGTGATATATAAATTTTGAAAAATAAACATTTTCATTTTTACTGGAATAGCCTTGGAAAATTTTCCATCATATCTTGAGTCATTGTCTGGTATGGAAATCATCTGTACATGCATCTTGGGGTCCAACTGAAATCAGGATACACAAATTGCCTTTTATTATTAACATGTATGGCCAAAACAAACTGCACAAAGCATTCAAACCAACTTTCACTGAAGCAAATTTCGGAATAATATCCAATCAAGAGCATATTCCTCAACTCAAATAAGTGATCCAGAAAATCACATGGAACAGGGTGTAGAACAAGGGGATGCCAAATTTGGTTCCCATTCTGACCCTTTCTGTCCAAATGGCAGCAGGGCCTGGGATGAATGGCAACTTTGCATCCTGTAACAGCCCATGAAAGAGAAAAATGTGCAAACATGCTTGAGATATAGGCTTTTGTGCCTGTCTACTCACAGGTTCAGTAAAATTCTCCAAGAATGTTGAGGAAACCATGATGACAAATATGATGAAACATGTTGTTCCAGTGAAGTAGTCCAATGCCTGAAATTTGAATATGAGACAAAACATTATAGATGTGTCTTCATATGCAAAATAAATTACAGCATAACTGGAGAAGGAAATTTCCAATTCAGGTTGTATACATACAGTGATTGTTGACACCCTGGGGGCATCATAATGGGCAGATGAAGTCAGGTAGTATGTAGTTGACAGCAAGATTAGATTAAAGATGAGTCTGTGTCCCAAATCTGGAAAAAGGATCAATTATAGTGTTGCTGGATTTAAAAAGAAATTAATTCAACTTAAAAGCCTCTTGCCATTGACATGCTAACATATTTTTCATAATGCACTCAGCATACAAATGGACACATCTTAAACCTGTACAAGAAAATAAATGGATGTTCAGCAAGAAAAAAAAGTTGTAGCTTCAATTTAACAAAATTTACAATAATTCAAAACCCAAAGACCCAACCAAGGTTTTTAGTAAAACTGACGGAACTTTTCTCCAAACATTCAGTGGACATATATGCATAACAATCAAGTGGCAAGAAGCATATCAAAGAAGACATCATTTACCTCTTGATTCCATAAAAAGTGTCATGTATGACAGCAGTACAAATGCAATGCAGGGCATGAAGATGATCACCACATAACTTCCTCTCAGTCTCTCAAATGCCACATTAACTACAACTTTGGAGTACTTGACTGAGAAAAATACAACCAATTAATCAAGGATGTATATAATCATGGCAAGTAAGATTTTTTTTTACTCCTTACTTCCTCTAAATTCCACAGTTTCTTCATTCACTGTGATGTCTTTGAATTTGTAGCCAATGGGGACCACTTTTGAGTCCAATCCAAAGCCAGAGTTCTTTCCTTCAGAATCAAGCCCTTTGACTATTATGGAATCCATTGTTGTTCCATCTGTATTAGGAATTGATTCATGCATGACAGCTGTTATTGAAAGGGGTATATCAGCTGAATGATTTTGTTTATGGACTCACAAGTGGAAATGTGAATGGAGCAAACCACGTCATCCATTGGGAATGAAGACATGTTCTCCTCACAATGCACCCTCATCTGTAACCTATCAACAACAGTGATGCAGCATGACTTCCTTTCTGAGGCAATAATACTCTCAGTTTCAATAGTGTTTCAAAGACAGTTTCTTCTTTGCCACTTTGTTGTTGGATTGTGAATGCAACTTAAAACTCAATTTCTGTTAATTTCCATCATCAGCACCAACATAAGGAATGTTACATCTATTAATAACATCCCATCCTCATAATGCAGTATTTATCCACATGTGAATAAATCCCTGTGAATCAGTCTTATTTATGCAGTGAGGCTCCAATAAGAACCAGCAGACATAATCAATTCTCATCAGACTGTGTCTGCATGTTGAATCACTTTTTCTCAGCCAAGGGACTTCAATGTGAGAACAGCTTCTATCATTTCTCAGATTTTGCAAAAATATTTTGAAAAAAGTACACCAAGACATTTGAAGAAAGGATTTTCTCAACTGCAAAATACCAATACTGTATAACTGTGCAGAGAAAAACCACTTCGAATCTGCCTATTTTATATGAAAGGAGTTCAAAAAGTCTTTATAACAAACTGAAATTGCTGAACTGAACTGCACAGCTGTTGGAAAAAACTCCTGAAAAGAGAAGCATAAAATATTAGCTTGTCTTTAAAAATAACTTGAAGTAAATGTATGAAAAATTCATTCTGTCCATCATGGCTCAATTTTTCCATATCAAAATTTAGAAGACTTCTACTGGTCAGGAAATTTTTGAGAAGTGCCCATAGCTTCAGCCATAGTCCAGATGTCAGAGCAGATTCCCAAAATGTATAGAGTCCAAAAGTCAAATTGACAGCAGGTTGTAGGTGTCTATGTGTTGGGGCACCACTGTATATACAGTAAAATTTTGTTGCAACAAACTTGTGGGGACTTCAGAAAAAGATTTTTAAACAATAATTTGTTATAACAAAAGATCTTCAGAATGTTTGACTGATGGTAAAATGTTAAAAAGTATACCTGCATATATTCAACATCTTCCTTATGTGAACTTTTCAGATGTTTTTCAGTGTTTGAAAAACAAACAAAAGGATCCTCAAAAAGAAATTTAGATGTTAATGACAAGTATTTACTCTGAATAATAGGTAAACACTGGTACTTTTTGTTGACTTCAAATTTTTTCTACGCAATTCCTGCGCAGATTTGTAAGGGTGGATGATCCAAAAAAGCTAAAAAATGTAAGTATCAGTGGGGTTTTTCAGGCATACAAATCCCTTTTAACATGAGTTTTGCTGGGTTTTTTTACAACCCCCCCCCCCCTCCCCATCCTTCTTAATCCAAGAATACATTTTTGAAAGAGGGATCTTCCATTGGATTGTAGAGAATTGTTGTCCTTGATTCCACCCTACATGCCCCAAGAACCAGAATTTGAGACTGTGCCAGCCTTCATTGAGGATTTTTCATTAGCACATCACAACATGTTCCTCAAAAAAGTTTGTTGTGCTGGAATCAGCAAGTTTGTTGTAACAAGATTCTTATAACATATACCCTATGGGGTTTCAGCCAGGAATTTTAAAAACGTTTGTTGTATTGAAAAATGTGTTGTAACGGTATTTGTTGTAACTCAGTTTTAATGTAGTTGCTTTCAGGGGATTCTTCATAAAATTCATTAATAACTCATCATTAAATCACCAAATGAATAATTTTGAGATACTGTATTAATGTAAAATTCACTAACATAAGATGATATACCTGCGACTGATTTTCACTTCCCCAGTATCAGTGATGCTGAGGAAGGCATTAGGCACTGGCCACTCATGCCAACTGGTCTCTTGAGCATTCTCCACAAACAAATCTGGCTCCCAAAACCTGTGCATGGTGTCAGTGTCTGTTGTGACAAAGGCTCTAGGATTGCTGTGTTTCAGTCTTTCATCCTTGAACTGGCTCCTGAAGTATCCATTGAAAGTCATTGTCTGCAAGGAACAAAAAGAATGTGGCACACCAGCTTGTCTTTTTTAACTTTTAGTGAATGAAGTACTGTAGTAAAACTCACCTCTGAATGCAAATCAATGTCCTCTATCTTCATTATGTACATGGACACCTGCACTGTTACTGGTTCACTCAGAGCTGCAAAGGAATACAAAAAGTTACAGATGAGACAATGTTTTGATGCATAAAAGATGGTTAACTATATGGGATATGCAAAAGTTAACTCACAACCAGGTCTTCTCAGTTTGTCATAATCCTTGAGCAAATCATCCACAAATAATGTTGGGCTATCAAATGGATCATGTGTTTGCTGTCCATCACTCAGGCATTCTGTCATGATGAAGCACAACACAACTGCCAGGCCAAAAATCAACCTCATGTTGATGTTAATTCTCTGCAACTGTAAAATAATGAATAACTATAAAAAAAAGAACCACATCAGTGTGCATAATTTAAAACAATACTCTTACCAATCTGAGTACTATACTGAAATTCAAATCAATATGGTGTAATCACAGTCCCATGTAATAATGTGCAACAAAGGAAGTCATTAAGTTTATAAGTTGCTGAAATTATCTGTAAGCATGAAGAAAATCTACATGAAGAAAAAATTGTGTGGGTTTATCACACCTAGGGGTGAATTTTCATGTACCCACAAACAATTCCATGAATGATGTAGAAATTATTTAAATTATTTCAAGTGAAGCAATCGATTTTTAAGCAAGTATGAACAGTATAGTACACAGTATATGACCATCCCAATTTCAATTTGAATTTGTGGCGTTTTCTTGAATGAAGCATCTTCATTACTTTGAAATTTTGCATGAATTTCATAAATTGGCGAAAAAGGAATGATGAAACGCGTTGAAACTTAGCATAGAAATATTTTTCTCTTATTCTAAAAAAACATTTTTCGTCAAGACTTTAACTTACAAGTGAAAATCTTTATTTATGTAAAACTTCAACAGAAAATGAAATTATACCTGACGTGAAAAAACTGCTCATTCAAAATGTAATTTTTAGGACATCGATATTTCAGAAAAGCCTCGTTTGATTTGAGATGAACAAAATAACTCATTTTAATTTTGTTGTGGTAATACTGTACATTTTAATGTGCCTTAAAATAATGGTAACACAGTTCTGTATATCATGATTGCAGTCATTCGTACTTTTCTGTACACAGTATTGGAACTTTTTGGATTTTTCGATTTAAAAATGTGTATTTCAACCAGGCAGAAAAAGAGTAATAAGTTATTTTATGATACAGATAACATGTTTATATCTCGTATTCATATTTTTATTAATTTTTACGAATTTTCTGAAAAAAGGCTAATTCATTGTGGCCCTTCTGCGTATCCGTATAATTTATCAAATTTATTTTGGTAATCCGAAAATCAATCCTCAGATGTTTCAGAACAGGCCTTATGGTCCAAAGTTGTCCTCATTCTGTTCCCTTTCCTTTATTATTATTATAAAAATAAATAATGTTTTTTACTCGCGCGAATGCTGTTCAACCTGTTTCCGAATTTATTTAGAAAAAGACACTCGCGAAATTTTAAGAATAAAAAAAAAGCTTCGAACAAATGAAAACAGGAGAAACATAAATAAATTTCCGCACTCGTTCAAAACTGGGTTCGGAATTACAAAAACAGCACCAGCATCTGCGCATATTTATACTGTACTGTACAAAATGTAACTCCTATGTACACTGAATCTCAGCCGCAGCAAAATGCAGACGAGGCGGAGCGGGAATGAGAAGAAGGAATCCCATCCACCTCCCATCAGTTGAGTTGGAGCTCGTATGCCCAAAAGAGAGAAAAGTTATCAAAAACAACGGGGAAGACGAGAGTTAAACACACGGCAAAAGGGCACGCACGGAATAAAGGTCGGGAAAGATGAACACCATTCTCCAATTACATTCCTAGGCGTGCTTCCTGGCGTACAGAAGTGTACGAGTGTATATGCGTTCACATTCTGAATCTGCGAGAGGGGGGCGTACATGTATTTACGTCATCATATACTCGAGTACTCTACAATCTACATAGTAACGTGAGAGTCGTTTTTGAAGGCCACCTAGCAAGCTTCAGCCGAAGCAGTCGTTTTACCGTTTATCAATTATTTCTATAGATGTCGCGCGAACTCAAACGGTTCCATCTAACATTCTACACGGTACTGAAGTTCTGAAGGACACAGATTGAAAAGGTTCAATATTTAAAAAAAAAAAAAGATGTGCCTTGATTGAACAGTGGACTTTGATTTTTGTGCAACATTCAAAAGATATGAGTTTTACGGAGTGCCATCAAGCCCCATTTTTCTTTTCAATTGCCAGAGTGGAGAGCTATTTTTGCTGTGACCCCACAGTAGGTGCACACCAGGGTCACAATGCTGCATATGGGATATTCTGGGGTTACAAGTGTGCACTTCAGTAGAGGAAATTTTGCTACCATTCCAGGGTTACACTTGGTGCACAAATGTGAAATGACATGAGCATATACACAAATGCACCAACTGTAACCTTGGTGCAACTTATTTGTTTACACATGTGACCCTGAGTAATCCTGGTGTGAACACACAATTGGTGCACATTGGGGATATGCGCGCATGTGCAACCTAAGAACTTTGGTACACTTCAGGTGCACAGCAGGGTCACTGTGTATAATTACAAACAAATCCCTGGTGTGCACTAATTTTCCCACTTGGGTGGGGATCCAGAATATATGTAACATATTATGATAGCCTCTCATCAAAATTTGAAGATTTGATTCTGAGGTGAACAAAGTTCTCAGCATGTTAGGGATATCTATGTTAGATTGTTCTCAAAGGAATCCAGACAGGCACAAACAAAGCCTTACAGGTGTTTATTAGCATTTTTACAATGGAATTATTGTACTGTATATGTAGTGCATGCACCTTCAGTACAGCATTATTGAGATTTTCCCTTGAAGGAAGGGAACCAACCCATGAATCAAAACATTTATGAATTGCATTTCAATTTCTTTTATAATCCAATCCAAGTATTGTGCTCAAAATTGTGAAAAATGGCACATTTAATACAGTTGTACTCTATATATATAATGATCTTGTCTGCAACAATTTTCTCAAGAATATTTATCGTTCCATATAGGATTCTTGCCACATATATGATAGGGGTTCTCTACAACATTATTCACTGGTCTATAATAAACTCTTTCTGGTCCATTGAATTTTGTTGCATGGAAAGTCTGCTGATATAAGAGCAGAAATTTTCAACAGCATGCATCTTCTTTTATTGCCAAAGAGATGACTTTGGCATGATTTCTTTTATATTTTTAATACTGCGTATTTCAGCTGGAAAGTATTAAAGTCATGCACTAAAATTCTTCCACAGGATTTGTCATTTTATATTATGGATTTTAGTGCAGTTGACAACTCACAAGCATAAGGTGCTGCAACTTTAATAAATCAGTGATCCTTGGTCCCAAACTTATCATGCCAAAATTTTAAGTATACATCAAAGAAAAGCAATCATCTGTTACCCAGGATCTAGGTAAATAGATAAAAACTCTTCTAGAACAGTCCAACAGAGCGAAGAACAAAAAAGAAAATAAAACACAAAAATGATTCTTGTTCAAAAACTACATTTCATTTGAAGCGTCCAACACTGGAGTCCCAACATTTTGCCCATCCCAGACAATGACTAGCACAGAGCTGAAAAATATGATATACAGTATTGTAGAATGCTGGAAAGCCATGATGAGCTCTGTGCAGAGCAGACATAGAAAAGCACATGCATCAAGCATGAATTCAGCAATTTCAAGACAAAGGTATTTCATTTTTCAGCTTGCAGTTGATATGATGGGTAATAATCAAGAATTGCAATTTTGATCAAATTCCATTTAAAAGTAGTCTCAATGCCCTATACTGCTGAGACAGATTGATGAGCAAAAATAAATGCACTGTAATCAGAATCTTAGACTTCTAGGAAATGATTCATTGAAGAACAGGAGACATATAGACAACCTCTGAAGCTTTAATTTACCAACAATCTAACATTGCAGTATAAGTATTCCTATGGATATATGCAGTATATCACCAAAGAGGTCAGTAAAAAACAACTGGCTGAAAATGACAATCAAAGATGAATTTTTTTCCAAAAAATCTCAGCAAAAAATTTTCAGTATGATAGGTTGTAAACTTGTGAAGTTCTGGGATTTTGTTTGGATTTTAAATAAAAAATTTCAATTTACTGCACATGATAAGTGAAAACTTCTAGTTATACTAGATCTTCTCTCATGCTATAATTTAAAATGTCCCACGTTACTGTTTAAAAATTCGAAAAAATGCAGGAACCTGCTGAAAACCTCATAGTAATAAGCTATACAGCACAATTTTATATTTAAAGTCATTCCAAGGTCGCGCCCAAGTGGGACAACCCTCGCACATCAGGAGAGTCAGCATAAAACCCCATTTTCTTTCTCCCACTCCAGAATTTTTCTGTTACTGGCAAAATTATTTGAAAATGCCTACGAAAATAAGGTAATGCACATCTTGATATATTGAATCACTTTTTTTAGCTGGTCTGAAAAAATTGTAAGCGCCCTGTGACACTGATGCTGCATTGAACTCTGGCTGTAATAATTGGGAAGTTTTTACTCATCATCATACAGCCAATTGAAAATCCGAAAAAAAATCCCAAAAACTTGAAAAATCCATGGGCTATAACAGAATTTAATTGTTGTACACTCTTTCCTACTCGTTTCCATCAAGATGAGAGACAACCCTCGTATATATGAGAGCCATATACCCCATTTTCTTTCACCCACTCGACAGTCGTGATTTCTTCCGTTACTGAGATGGAAATTATCGGAAAATTCCAAAGGAAATTGAACGGTGATTACACCCTGATTGAAGCGGAAATGACAGGCAGGTGATTATCCCCGAAAGAGCAATTAAGCAGAGCAGCTGTGCTGGGATTCCTCGCCCTCACTCGTCTGCACTCCAACCGCTCATTGATGAGGTTCTCGCAAGACTCGTTCTCGGGCAACACGGATAAACTCGTGCTACTGATGCCACACGAATAAGCCGTCTTGTTTAGTCCTTTATTCGCCTGCACTCGAATCTTCTCGCATGTTCCTCCGTCATTCACCTCCTTCTTCTCCACGTTGATCAACGAATTGTGGATGAGGAACGGAGAGTGTTCGGGCTGAGACTCGAAAAGGGTGCTCTTGATCGGAGCAGAAGCACGGGACGAGGAGGACGAAGGATGATGGGGTTTCGTCATCATTCGCGGGCGAATGAAACTGCGGTGCGACGATTGTTGTTGTTGTCGTTCTTGTTTGTGTTGATGATGATTTTGATGATGAACATTTGGGATACGAAGCAGGGATTGTAGGCTGTGGAACGGGGATGAAGATGTCATGGTGTTGTTGCC